CCCATCCTTATCCCCCTTTCATCCCCCTCCTCGTCCCCATCCTCATCCTGTCCTACTCCCCATCCTGTCTCCATTCTTGACCCCATCCCATCCTCACTCCCGTCTCCATCCTCGTCCCTGTCCCCATCCTCATACAATCCTCATCCCCATTCTCATCCCCATCCCCAGCCTCAGCCCATCCCTGACCCCATGCCCATCCCTGTCCTCATCCCCATCCCCAGCCCCATCCTCATCCCTGACCCTGTCCCCATCCTCCCTGGGCTCTTTCCCCCACCTCCCACCTCCAGCTCCCTCTGACCTGCTGGACCCTCGCCCTTCTGGCTCAGTTGCACCCAGCCCTGCCCAGCTCTCCCAGCCTTACAGGTGGCGATGTGGCTCATCCCCTTCACCAACACCCACCAGTGCTGGGGAACAGGCTTGCACCCAGCACATGGGGTACTGCAGCCTGGGGCTGTCTCGGGGTTAGAAGAAACAGCTCTTGACTAACTCCACCCCCAAAACACCCCCAGGGCACTGGAAACTCGAGACCAGCCAAGAGCCAGGCTGGTCATGGCTCGTCCATCCTCCAGTTACATTCATCCACAGATGGAGCTGGAGGTACCATCCCGTGTGGGCAGGATGTGGGCTGTGGTGGGCAGAGGGTCTGGTGGATCTGGAACAAGAGGAGACAAACGGCTCTTCCCAAATAAGAGGTCTTTATTAACCACCCAAGTGATGGTGAAGAACTGGGTGATGATGAAGGACCAGATCATGATGAGGAACCCGCAGTGTCAGGATGGGGGGCTCCCAGTGTCAGAGATGAGCAGGTCCTCCCCCTGAGACATGCTGAGGTCTGTTCCCACCACGAATTTCTCCCTTGCCCCCCCTCATGGCATCTGCACCACTGTCTGGGCACATCCTGGCTGCTGACTGAGAAGGAGGATGCTGTTGGACCTGTCATCTCCCTGCCCGCAGGGCATTCACAGTGTGGTGGCAACAGGAAGGTGGGGGCAGAAGACGATGCCATTTTGGGGATGCTGATGTAAAGTCTGTACACTGGGTCCCCTCATCCCCTCATGCTCTGCATGGGGGAGCTGAGGGGGGTCCTTCTGATCCATGGCCTGGGCTTGGCGCAGCACCGGGGTCATCCTGAGGCATGGGCTCAGCACAGCAGCCTCTGCTGGCCAGTGCCTAGGCCTGTTGGCTCAGGGGTCCTGTTGCCACAGGGAGATGTGCTCTTGGGCTGTGATGGGATGTCAGAATGCGTGTCCCCCACACCAAGAATGACCCAGAGATCTGAGCAGGGCTGGCAGTGGGGAACAGACCCTGCAGAGCCAGGAGCCTGCACCCCTGGGGCTCAGCACCCAGGGAAGGTGCAGGAGAGCTCCCAGTCGCTCACTCACCAAACTGGCAGATGTACTGATTCCGGGTTTTGCAGTGCTGATCATTCCAGTTGAAAGCAGACAACGCTTGCATTTCCACACAGTTCCCAAACCTATGTCCCAGTAGGCACGAGGAGGGTGTGTGTATGAAGCCAGCCACCACAGTGGCATGGTGGTGACACTGCACAGAGATCTAGTGTCCTGCAGGTCCAAAAGGCGCTTACCCTTGGTTGCCCAAAAGCGAAGCTGGTGAAGGAGGATGGCTCACCCACATCCCAGCGGAAAGAAGTCTTAGATGTCTTGTAGGTGAGACCTGGGGGAGCAGGAGGTGGGGTGGCACATCCACTAGCATCCCGGGTACCCCACACCCTGCCCACCACTGTGACTCACCGATCCAGAAGTTCCCAGTCTCAAAATCGGTGTCTGCCACCCTGTTACCCATCTCCAAGCGGCTGAGGTAGAAAGCAAGAATGTCCTGGACCTTCTGGTTTCTGATCTGGGCCAACATCGCCCCTTTCTCCTGCAGGGAAGGGAGTGAGTCAGCCCCAGACACATGGCCCAGGCAGCAGAGAGGTGCATGGGGAGCTGTGAGCATGGTGGCATCGTTCAGGGACTCACTTGACACTTTAGTTTGGCTCCGTAATAGGTGTCGGCCTCTGATGACACCATGAAACAGTTGCCATCTATCTGCACATCACATGTGTGGAAGGGGAACTGAATCTTCGCTGGGGATACAGGCAGAAGGTGGTCCCTGTGCCGGTGGCCCCGCTACAGGAGCCATAGCCCTGCTCCGGGGGTCCCAGCCTGCAGATCTCTGCTGCCACCCTGCAGCACAGACTCACTGCCACACTCGGCGCCACCATATCCCACGTCGCAGAGGCAGGAGCACTCCTCCTTCCTGAACTTGCCGTGGAGGCACTGCCCGCTGCATCTCACTGTGGGAGAAGAGCTGCATTAGCTGGTGGGGGCTCAGCAGGCCCTGCCCACCCCAGCTGAGCTTGTGCTGCACAGCAGGTGCTGCACTGAGCTGAGCCGGTGCATGTGTGTGCTGCACCACTGTGTGATTGTGGGGACTGAGCAAACTGTGACTGCTGCACCAGCAATACAATCCCAGCCTGGTTTGGGCTGGAAGGGATCTTAAAGCTCATCCAGTTCCAACCGCCTGCCATGAGCAGGGTCACCTTCCACTAGACCAGGTTGCTCCAAGCCTTGTCCAAGCTGGCCTTGAACACTGCCAGGGATGGGGGAGCCACAGCTTCTCTGGGCAACCTGATCCAGGCCCTCAGCACCCTCACAAGGAAGAACTTCTGCCTAAAATCTCATCTTAATCTCCCCTCTGTCAGTTTAAAGTCATTCCTCCTTGTTCTGTTCCTACAGACCCTTGTTCAAAGCCCCTCTCCAGGTTTCTTTCAGCCCCTTTAGGCACTGGCAGCTGCTCTAAGGTCTCCCCAGAGCCTTCTCTTCTCCAGGCTGAAAAAGATCAGCTGTCTCAGCCTTCCTCCAGAGCAGAGGTGCTCCAGCCCTTGGATCATGCCCGTGCACTGCACTGACATTGTAGACACATGCACTGCACCCACCGTATGCACACATGCTCTGCACTGACCATGCACATGCGCCTCTAAAGTGAGGGAGGCAGGGGTCGTGCAGGTGCCCCTCCCACCTTGGCAGTACCTGCCGGTATATCCCGGGGAACAGGCGCACTGGCAGCTGCTCATGTCAAGGCGCCCATTGTTCCTGCAGCTCAGGTGACAGGGGTTCCTGGGCACCTCTGAGCATGGCACAGACACGGACATCAAGGGCTGCGGCATCGCTGGAGGGCATGCAGGGGCTGGGGGGTGGGACCGGCATGGGGGGAGGGCATGCAGGGGCTGGGGGGTGGGACCGGCGGCGAGGACTCCCCGCAGAGCCCGCCGCTGTGGTCCCAGGACTTGAAGCATCCGGAAAGGCCGGCGGTGCAAAGGGGGCACCAGGGGCCCTGCATGTAGGGCAGGACGGGCGTCCCCGACACCTCCCAGTTGCCCCTGTCCCCGCAGGC